GCAACCTGCATGTCCGCATGTCCTTGGAAAAATTAGAATTTGAAATTGTTGCAAAAAAAAGGCATGTATTCGCACAAGTTCAACGGTCCAGCATGGCGTTATGAAATTGGATATTCCATTTTCGGGAAAGATATTGTTTGGGTTAACGGTCCTTTCAAGGCTGGAGAGAGCGAAATAACACTTTTTAGGGAAGCCGGGCTTTGTAACAGCCTAGAACCTTTGGAGTGCGTGGAATGTGACTCTGGATACAAAGGAGATGTCAAACTCAAGAATCCATCAACAGGAGCCAACAGAAGCGAGCGAGAGCAAAAGAGTGCTGTGCGAGCAAGGCACAAAATTGTTAATGGCCGTTTAAAGCAGTTTGCGGTTCTTGACCAGGTCTTTCGTCATTTGTCCAGAGAGCAGCATGGATTTTGCTTCAAGGCTGATGTTGTCATCACACAGCTAAAGTTTGAATTTCATGGGCGGCTCTACAATGTAGTTTACCACAATCACTAATTTAAAATGCCAAACCACTTTTAACATGCAAATTTCCCGAGGCAATCAATTTCTTCACGAACAAGGTCGACAAGTGATAACATGGCCGAAAGGTTCCTCGTCCTCAATTCAGCTTGCTTCACCTTGAATGGAGGCTTGAGGAGAGACAAGTGGCTGTGGAAGCGATGCAGTAGGGGGGATCTTACGGTCGGTCATAGGTGTGTTGCCACCCTCCTCGTTTTCTGCTGAAGCTCCATGTTCGAGCTCAGGTCGCATTCGTTTATTAGTTCCAAGCTTTCTTTGTGCCTCAGCTCTCTGTAGAACCACGCTAGCCTGTTCTCTTGCGTTTTCTGCAAAGGTCTTCTCCTGTAGTGCAACCCTTTGCAATTCTTCAGCTGTATGTTTTTCTGCTTCAGCTCGATGGACAATTGCCTCTGCCGTTTGAAGTTGCTGCTGTTGGTAATCGGTCACCGCTTCCAGTTGTTGCTTCTCTTGTTCCGCCGCATGGGCCGCAGCTTTTTGCCTCCGAAGCTCTTGTTCAAGATTCTCCACTTGACTAGTCAAGCTCGCAAGGGACATTTGGCCACTATTGTCATATGATAGCGCCGATGCAACTGATGCTGCATCTCCTGGTGCTCCCATTTGGCTTGGTGCAGATTCAGAAAATCCGACAGTGGATACCTTGATTTCGCTTGGTGGATGGCCATAACTTGGGACAGCCGCTGGTTGGTTTGGAGTAGAGGGCTGCATTCCGTTGCTTGGATTGGACTGAGCGGCAAATGGATTCCGATGAGGTTGCATTCCAAATGCAGCGGGGTTGTGCTGGCTGCCGTTGGAAGGAGCAGGAGAAGGTTGCATGCCAAATTGGTTTCCAAATGCAGCGGGGTTGTGCTGGCTGCCGTTGGAAGGAGCAGGAGAAGGTTGCATGCCGAATTGGTTTCCAAACGTACCGGGGTTGTGCTGATTGCCGCTGGAAGGAACAGGACAAGGTTGCATGCCAAATTGATTTCCAAATGTACCGGCGTTGTGTTGGTTGCCGTTGGAAGGAACAGAAGAAGGTTGCATACCAAATTGATTTCCAAATGCACCGCCGGCGTTTTTATTGCCGTTTGAAGTATGGTTCTGATGGGGTGAGAAGCTTGGACTCCCAAAGTTGAAAGGACTTCTGTTGGGATTAGAGAGTAGAGTGAAAGAAATGAGAATGTTTGAAAGTTGGTGTTGTCGATTTTCTTCCATAAAAATACTTACTGGAAACCACCGCCTCCATTTGCAGCATTCTTTCCCCAATTGCTTTGAAGTTTGAACTGGGCCTTAGTAAACCCAACATCAACCGCTTGTTTCACTGCCTTTGGTGTTCTAGTGCACACAATGAGCATGTTTAGTGCAACCTCGATGCCGTCAGTGCGAACGTGTGGAACTTGGATAATGTCGAAGCCAGTAAGTCCATCTCCGGGAGAGACGGTGTCGGGGTCTTGAGGCTCGCTATAAGTGATCGTCGCACCATCCCAAACGTGTCCATCCGGCCCTCTGTTACCTACAACACCTTGCTCCATCGAGGTGGCCAATGCAGAATCTGGGCCAAATACATGTGTGTTATTGTGGCGAAACATTGACAGGAGCATCATTGGAAAGCTCATCAGATCGGAGTGCTTGAATGAAATCTTCATTTTGTGGTCGTTGGTCCACTCATGCTTCAAGTCCCCAGCACATACTGAAGGGAGCATTTCAATCACGTGCAAAGTGTATGTCACTTGCTCAGGTACAGGGATGCCGTGAGCATTTGTGGTTTTGTAGTGGATTTGTTGGTAGGTGCCAGATGTAGTCGGCATGCGAAAATGTGGATTGCAGTCTCCCTTCGCCTTCTTCACTGCTGTCATTCTCACTGACTTCACCTCAGGGGGAAGACAATCTTGTGCCGACTGAGCATATCCACTGGAATTGTATGCTGCTGCAAGGTCGGCCATCTTTCTTGCTTTTGATCAAAAAGTTTGGCGCTTGATGGTTTTCAGAAGATTGAAGAGTTCTTGTTTTGCTTGGATGTCTTGGTTTTCGAGTAGGTGCTCAAGATGTTTTACAGTGCCGATATCCTTTTTGCTGGAGGCGTTGGGTGATGTCAAATAAAACTTAAAGAGGCAAGCTGATACTACGTCAAGGTCTTGAATTTGATTTTGTGACAACATCATTTGTTTTTTGGACAAACTCGGGGTTGCTGGAGGGATGCGGTATCGCTAAAATTCAACGGAAAAAGTGACCAGAAATGATCACTTGGACTGTGAGTTTTACTACTTTTTTAACTACGTCGCTGAAACTGTGATGGCAATCTTGTGGGAATAAAAACGGGAATGGTAGCGATTGACTGCTGAAATGGAGAGCTTCACAAAAACAAGATTGGTGTCATGCCTCGAACAAAAGGTGGAAAGAAAGACGAGCGTTCAAACCTTGAGAAACTGCAAGGGTACAAAGACTCAAAGATTGACCTCTTCATCTTCTTTGGGTACTACGATGGACTTGTTTCAGCGGGGATGTGTGGATGGGTTGTTGATGATGGCAACCAAGTAGGGAGCCGGACACACCAAAAAGGGAACTTGTGTGACAAGGTTCTAACTCCCTCCCAGTTTCGAAGCAAAGCTCAAAAGCTTTATCTCATAGCTGAAGGTCTCGCTGGGCTCGGTGAAAATTTAGACCTTGCTTCCTACAGACCTCATTTCACAAATGAAGACTTTGCCAAATTTGAAGCAGCAAGAAGGAAGAAGGACAACGCAGGAGACCCAATGAAGAAGCTGCTGACCGTGAAAGACGAAAAAGCGCTATTTATCTTCTTCCAGTACTATGATGGAATCAAGACCAAAGGGAAGGAAGGATTCAGCCTAAATGTCGCCAACTTTGGTTCAGTTGCTCATATGGGTATATATCCTGGATACTTTAAGCAGCGTGGAGAGAACTGGTTCAGAACAATTTCAAAAGTGATGGGCAAGTTGGCTGAAAGATTTTGTGGCCGATGGTATCGCTCCTCCAGAAACTATCAGACCTAGAAGACCAACAATCGCTCCTGCTACAGACATGTTGCATACTTTCAGAAATTCGAATGTCAACCGTGAGTTGGATTGGATTTAGGATTCATCCGATCCTGACGAAAAGACTACTTCGGCAACAACTGCCAAAGAATCATAATTTAGATTCTGTTGAGGTTTTAATACACAATAGATTTTTTTCTCAGTTCGATCAAGAGGTTTAACGGTCCGTCCGCCGCTCAACAGGACATCTGTAGGTGGAAGACTGATGATCCAAAACCCCATGCAGACCTAAAATCAAAATTTCCCCGATACAAATGTCTTAGCTTAGGTCCTTGGCTTTCACCCTATTGGGTGAGCACCTCTCTGCTATGCTCTAGTGAGTCGCTTTAGCACAATGTTATCAGCTCCTTTTGATTGCTATCCAAAGGATTTAGTGACATTTTGCGCTACAGCAGCCCTATAGAGCATAGCAGAGAGGTGCTCACCCAATGGGATGAAAGCTAAGGACCCAAACTAAAACATTTGTTTGCAGAAAATTTTGAGTTTAGGTCTGTATGGGGTCGAAAATCTTGGATCAGCAGTCTTCCGACAAATTAGTATGAAAATGATCTGTTGAGCGGCGGACGGACCGTTAAAAATAATATTATTAATAGCTATTTGTTTAATTAAAGAAGTTTCCTCGGTCCAACGAACTTCGTCCATTGGACGAAGGTGTCCGACGAACTTTGTCCATTTGGACGAAGTGTCCACGAATAGAATTTGAAAGTTCCGGCAGGCTCGTTTTAGACAAAGACCAAGCTTTGCATTGCGCAGAGTTTGTTGCCGGCACGTCAGCTCTGTCATCTCTGCTGGACAATCTGCACGACGTATCTGAGGACATTGCCAGCAAGCCTGCCATTTCAGGCCGCTCCAGATAAACATCACAAAATTGCTGGC